TTTTTTTTTTTTGAAATATCGGGAGAATGGTTCGATGTATTTTAGTGAAACTCGCTGTGAATTTGTTCTTATGTAAGACTCATATTTTGATGAAACAATCGAGTTCAACCGTTTTGGACAAGTGGTGAATTCTTGAGTGTCGTGGTACAAAAACTATTGGCGGATGAAATCAACTCATTTTTTTTAGGTTGATGCACTAATTATTTGTTCACAATTTTGTGCTCTTTGTAACATCTTGTAGCATTCATAGTTTTTGCGTAAAAAAATATGTCTGTTTTCTAGACCCTTGCCAATGTTAGACATTTACTGCAAATATGCGCGCGTAAACGCATACGCTTTCACGCAAATTGTCTTCGCAAAACCCTAATACCTTGACCATGTCGGTAACTGCTTCATTAGAAAAGGTAATTCAAAACGAATTTGTGAGATTGATTGACAATGATTTTATGCCTCGTATCACGATATTTGCAGTTAATGTCTAACATTGTTAAGTGGCAAGGAAACAGAAATATTTTTTTTGCAAAACCTATGAATACTACAAGATTTTACAAAGAGCACAAAATTGCGAATAAATCATTAGTGCATCAACCTAAAAAAAAAAGAGTTGATTTCATGCTCCAACTAAAAAGTTCTGGTAGTTTTTGTACCACGACACTCAAGACTTCACCACTTGTCCAAAACGGCTGAACTTGATTGTTTCATCAAAATATGAGTCTTACATAAGAACAAATCCACAGCGAGTTTTACTAAAATACATCGTACAATTCTCCCGATATTCCAAAAAAAATATTTTTTTGAAGAACTTTGACCATCAATAGCAGAGGAGCCAGACATTTTTTGTTAATAAAAGTTAGGTCAGTTCGTTTTCTTTTGGTCCAAACAATATCGCAGTACCCTTTTGATCATGAGCTTACGGGACACCCTGTATTATAAGTTGTTCAAGTGTTGTCAATTTTTCTGTAAACAATAATAAAGTCTGTTTTTGAACTCTTCCCTAACATTTCAGAAAACTTCACCGGGAAGTGACCGGCATTCTGCTACAATTCGACTTTTAAGTTCATCAATATCAGTAGGTTGTGTTTTATAAACCATGGCCGCCAGATATCCCCAAAGAAAAAGGTCTAAGGGTTTTCGATCCGGTGATCTTGGAGGCCATTCAATTGGTCCCCTACTGCCAATCGATCTATCCGGGAATATCTCATCAATGTCAGGGAGAGTTCGAAAATAGAGTTTATTATTGTTTACAGAAAAATAGACAACATTTAGAACAACTTATAAGATTATGCGTAAGTAAGGGTTTTATTGTAAAATAATCAATAAATCTGAAATTAATTGTTTAAACTAGATTTTCTTCCTGTCTGGAGTTCTGGTAGTTTTTGAACCACGACACTCAATAATTCACCACTTGTCCAAAACAGATGAACTCGATTGATTCATCAAAATATGAATCTTACATAGGAACCAATTCACAGCGAGTTTCTCTAAAATACATCGTACCATTCTCCCGATATTTGAAAAACGAAAAATTTTTTGAAGCACTGACCATCAATGGCAGAGGAGCCAGATATTTTTGTTAATAAAAGTTAGTCAGATCGTCTTCTTTTGATCGAAAGAATATCACAGTACGCTTTGGATCATGTGCTTACGAGACACCATGTGTAAGGTAGTTTCCTGAGACAATCGTACAATTTGAATTAAATAATTAAAATAAACATGGTCACGTGTCGGACGCATACCTACAACCTACACACAGCACATTACATGATGCGGTTTAAATTGGCCATTTGGTTAATGGAGTTCATAAATGCATATTTTAATTTTTGCAATATTATGTACTTGCTTTGTTAACGATGGAACCATTCTGTTTTACAGACTACGTGGTGAGCAACCAGAGCAGAATGGTAACCATTTGCAATGCTTGAAATAATTCGATTATAAATATTCCTGCCCTTCTCGGTGTGGATAACTGAGGATCAAACCTGATAAGAAAAAAATGATTTTAACCTTGTACTACATGTATGCGACTTTACTTCAATGGCGGAAGCTCGGAGCCCTGAAGAATAAGTTGAGCGGGACTCTAAACAGCAATAACTCTTTGCTAGTATGCGACGAGTCCGTTATTTTTGATACTAGACGAACTAGAAGCATTGAAAATTTGCTGTTTAGACAGGATAATCGGATTGGCGTCACTGTTGTACCTAAGGTAAGAAGGTTCTCTATAAGATCATAAAATAAACTCTATAAGTTCTAAACAAACTCGATTTTCAGCAAAGAATAAACTTATCTTCGCATTGGCTGTACTTTCCAAAAGATTCGAGATATTTTCCGATATTTTTTAAGCCGAATAGAGCACCAATATACAGTCCTAAACTATACGTTTTGGTCCAGGCTGTTTTGGAGGCTTACAAGAAACATGATGCTGAAATATTGCCGGTAAGTGACTCTTTATAGTAAAGCTATAGCACTAAGGCCCAGTTGTACAATGTAAGTTTAACCTTCTATCTAGGCTTCTTGACATATTTTATAAATAGAGCATAGTCTTAATATAGTATCTAATCATATGACTGACTTTCTGCAGATAGAAAACTTCGGAGAATTAGTTGCATGGAAAGTGACAGACCATTTCGAAGCCATCCTAAAGACAGATATGGACAAACTAGCCAAGTTGATACATTGCTTTTCGCAATCTGATTGCGACATTAATCACGAATTGCAACTTGTAAAAATTGAAAGTATGTTTGGAAAATTATAATAATTCTGATTTTTAACTTAAGCAAATTGTATTCTCTCAACAGCAATTGAAGTAGATGGCATCGCAAAAAGAATAATCTACGACAGACAGTTCTCTACCGAGGCTACACAGAAATATTCCCTGGCTCCTGTGCATTGGCAGAATTTTGTTACAAACGTAAAGGATTTATATTCTAAGATTCGAGACGCTACTAAGTAGGTTTTAGACTTCAATTTTGCCACAAGTTGATACTAAAAGGGTATTGTTTCAGTCCAAAAATTACCATTGATAACGGCACTCCGAAACCAGAAGAGGTGAAAATTGTCCCAGTTTCGGAAGTAAAACCGATCAAAAAAGATAAAAAGTTAACTGAAGAGAAAAACACTCTTGACGTCAATTGCTCGGATTATAGACGACATAGGAGTACAGAGCACAGTAAGTAATGATCATTGCATATTTATAAACACTTTTTAAAATGTTAAACTTGGTTGAAACAACTTATTGCTTAAATGGCACTTCAGGGGGATTCAAAATTGGCGTCATTCCTCTGGAGGTGTTGTCTGGCGCTGTTATAGGAGTACAGAAAAAATAGTAAAATAAATTAATTGTAATTAAAAACTGAGGAATTTGCAAAAAACTATATCAGAAATACGGCAGCAATGTTTTTCAAGGTAATCTGCCTAATTAACATTGCGCAAATACTTGTTGCTTCGTAATTATTTAAAACTCCGGTAACCATGCAATTATACAGACTGACAATAAGATAGACAAGGATAAACGGTAAATTCAACAAGATTTGTTGACGAAATGTCAACCTGTTCTCATAACCTCGAATATCGGTGTTTAAAAATAAACCATACAACACCAAACATTTGAATGGTTAAC